CCCTTGTGTGGATAAAGCGGATCGGAAAATGGATGTATGTAAGGCAGACTTGCTAACCGGTCGAAAACCGTGGCGACCTATATATATATATTATTATTATTATTATTATTTCTGTATTCATTTATTTATGTATGTGTTTGTTTATTTATTTTTCAACACAAAAAATGCTAAGCGTCTTTGTCCATCCTTAGCAAAGGTCTACTCATGAGTTCCATTTTAGTTTGTTGTTTGTTGATTTCAAAATCATATCATTGGAGTTGAAATAGAGCTTCTCTAGTTACGCACGTACACACCCGGGATTGGGTATATAAAGTGGCATTACCCCCCCTCCGCATTTCTGCCTTTATTAAAAATTCTACTGTGGGTCATCAAAGCTGCAGGGAGATGGAAAAGTGGATTGTTCCCCATGTCCCTGCTGCACATCCAATCACTTTTCATTAGGGTTCAAGTACAAGGGGTTGAGAGGGCTGCTTTCGTCTTCTTGTTTGTGCACTGCTGAAGACGACTGCAAAATAGCACAACCTGAGATTTATTTTCAGGAGACGCTTGGGAATGCTAATCAAGACAGACATCCACCAGTGTATGGGAATTATGGCAGTCATTTTTGGGCGTATGACCCACCACACGCGACATAATTCAGTAGGTGTTTTTGTTTGTGACTGCGAGCGAAGCAAGTGGGTGGTGACATCAGATTATTCAGAGCAAAGCAGGTGTACGCGAGGCATAAAGTCCAAAAAAGAAAATTAGGAGTCAACAAATAGCTCCATATTATGAGAGGGGGAAAAAAGAGGCTTACAGGTGTTAAATTCAGATTCTTTAACCTCCCCCCGCCCCACCCAACACAGCACAGCCAATCAAATATTTTATTTTTATGAATCATGTTGTGGTCACTACCAGGATGGCCGAGCGGTTAAGTCGTGGGACTTAAGATCCTATGGACGGCAGTCCACGTGGGTTCGAACCCCACTCCTGGTAGTGAGCAGTTGCTAAAGACCTACTTAAAATTTTTTCTGTGGGTGTTATCGAAAGAGGCAGAGGATGTATGAGTCTCCCATGACAAGTATCGGTCACTTGGGCAGTGGGTGAGCTGGAGCTCATCTGTAAGGTCACTGAGATTTCTGCCATTTTTCACATCAATCAGTCGCTGTGAAATCTTTGCTTTGATGATGTTTGATGTTGCGGAGTCTGTGCGCTCATGTGACTGCTTGGGTCTATAAATTAAATAAAGGTGAAGAATGCCAAAATGGCCA